CCCCGGGCCCTCGGGGCCGCGCTGCGGCCGTCGGCCGCGGCCTGGGCCTGGCTCGCGCGGTCCGCGGAGCCCTGGCAGCTCCGGGGCGCGCTCGACCTCGACGCGCGCGAGCTCGGGGCGACGTGCGGCGCGCTCCTCGGGCGGCGCGACGGCCTCGAGGTCCTGGGGAGCGTGCTGCCGGGCGCGGCGACGTCGCTCTGGGCCGGGTCCGCGGGCACGCGGACGCCGCTCCACGCGGACGCGGCGACGTCCGTCGTCGTCCAGCTCGCGGGCGCCAAGGTGTTCCGGTTCTGCTCCCGGGACGACGTCGCCAACTGCGCGGACCTCCCGCCGGCGGTGCTGCGCGACGGCGACGCGGCGGCGGCGCTCGGCCTCGCCGTCGCGGACGTCGAGCGCATTCCGAACGTCGCGACCGTCGTCCTCGAGCCCGGCGACGCGCTCGTCCTGCCGCGCGGCGTCTACCACGACGTCGAGGCGCGCGACGGCCTCGCCGCGTCGCTCGTGCTCCGCGTCGACTGCTGCGCGGACCCCGCGGCGGCCGCGGCGGCCGCGGCGGCGCGGTGCGGCGCTGAGGCCGCGGCGGCGGCCGCGGCCGACGCGGCGCGCCACCTCGAGGCGGGCGACGCGGCCGCGGCCCACTTCGCGCTCCTCCAGGCCCTCGCCGCCGAGGACGCGGGCCTCGAGGCGGCGGGCGGGGACCCCGTCGACCTCGGCATCGACGACTAGCGGGTAAAGGTGAGAAGTTCAACGTTCACTTTCGAACTCGGCGACCTCCGACGACAGTGAAGTCAACTGCAGTTTCAACTTGGCGAGCGCCCGTGGCAATGGCCGCGCTCGACGCCATCCTCCCTCAGGACGAGGAGGAGTTCGCGACCGTCGCCTACTGGGACAAGTTCTACGCGCTGCGGGACGACAAGCCCTTCGAGTGGTACGTCGACGCGGCGCGCGGCGCGGCCATCGTCGCCGCGGCGCTCGGCGACGCGGCGGCGGGCGGCGGCGAGCGGCTCGTCGTGAACCTCGGCTGCGGGACCTGCGAGGTCCCGCGGGCGCTGGCCGAGGCGCGGGCCGCGCGGCCGGCGCTCGGCGCGCTGCGCGTGCTCTCCGTCGACAACAGCGCGGGCTGCGTCGCGACCGCGCGCGCGCGCCAGGCGCCCGCGGCCGTCGCCGGCTGCGCGCTCGACTTCGCCGCCATGGACGCGCTGGACCTGGACGTGCCCGACGGGTCCGCGGCCGTGCTCTTCGACAAGGGCCTCGTCGACGCGCTGCACCCGCGCGACGACGCCGCGCGGCGCGCGACGATGGCGAAGCTAATTCGGTGCGCGCGCGCCAAGCTCGCGCCCGGCGGGACCCTCGTCGTCGTGTCCATGCTCCAGGGCCACGTGCGGGCGCTCCTCGAGGCCGCGGCCGCCGCGGACTTTTACGCGACGGCGTGCCCGGCGCCCGCGGGCGCGCCGAAGCTCCTGCCGTTCGCGCTTTTCCTCCGCCCGGGCGCGCCGGGCGCGGCCTACGGCGGCGACGCGCTCCGGCACCGCGACGCCGACGCCCTCGCCGGCGGCTGGGCCGAGCTCTGGGCCCGCGTCGACGCCGCCGTCGCCGCCGCGGCGCCCGCGACGCGCGAGGCCGCGCGCGTCGCCGTCGTCGGCCTCGACTTCCGGCTCCGGGGCAAATGGAACGGCCGCGACGCCGCGGAGGCGCTCGTCGCCCGGCTCGGCGGCCTGCCGGCGGCGCTCGACTTCCGCTGGGCCGAGGCGCCGCGCGTCGAGCCCGTCGCGTTCGGCGTCTGCCGCGTCGCCGCGGCCGCGGCCGCGCGCGGCGACCGCGACCCGGACGCGCTCCGCGACGCGCTCGGCGCGGCCCTCGGCGCCGTCGACGCGGACGACGCCGCGACGTCGTCCGACGACGACGACGGCGACGACGACGGCGCCGCCGCGCCGCGGGCGCTCGAGTGCGCGTGGCCCGAGGTCACGAGCCTGACGTTCGGCGAGGGGACGCTCTAAGCCGCTCTTGAGGTCGATGGTCGAGTGTTTTATCCCTAGCCTGCCACCTCGTGCTGTGTTAGGACGTATCCTTGGGCGTGAGCTGCCCCCCCGGGCCGCGGCCCTCGTCGTCGTCGTCGCTCCAGCCGTCGTCGGAGAGGTCCTCGCGGTCCTCGGCCTCGAGCACCGCGCCCGCGCGGACGTTGCGGAGGAACGACGTAAAGTCCGCGCCGCTCTGCGAGTCGCGCTGCTGCGACGGCCGCCGCGACGGCCGGCGCGCGGCGCCGCCGGGCTCGGCGGCGCCCAGCGCCGCGGCGCGCGCGCGCTTCTTCGACTCGAGCTCGCCTGCGGCGGTTCGCGCGCGTCGGCCCCGCGGCGGCGGCGGAGGGCGGGGGATACGCGGCGCGACGCGCGGCGCCTCCGCTCGCGGAGCTTCGCCTCCTCGCGGTCCTCGAACTCCTTGCCGTAGGCGTCGACGAAGCCGAGGATGTCGTCGATCCAGGCCTGGAAGTCCGTCGTCTTCGGGTCCTCGCCGTAGGACCGGAGGCAGCCGTCGACCTGTGTGAAAATCAAATCTTCAACCCGACTTCAATGTGCGCGTATGCGAATATTTTGACACGAGCACTTCCGCCGTGCTTCGAGAACTCGCTAAGAGCAATCGATTCGTCCAAAAATCAGCCGAATCGACTTCGATTTGACCGAGCTAGAGAATTCTCAAGTTTGGCCCCGACGTCCCAGCTCACTGGTTGATTTGCACACAGCCGTCGACGTCCGCGTTGACGTCGAGGAGCGCCGCCTCGAGGCCTAGAAGAAGCGGGGGCTTCGAGCGCGGGCGCCGCGCGCGGGGAAGAAGAAAAAAAACGGCGCGGGGCGACGCGCGCTCGAGGTCGACGTCGACGTCCGCGACGACGCGCGCGACGCGCGCCGCGGCGAGGTCCGAGACCGCGGAGCCCTCGGCCGCGAGGCGCTCGCGCTCCGCGTCCGCGCCGTGGCGCTCGGCCGTGAGCGCGCGGAGCTCCTCGGCGAGCGCGTCGCGCGACGTCGCCTGCGCCGCGTCGGCGAGGCCGCCGAGCTCCCGGCGGAGCACCTGGGGCTTGACCCGCGCGTGGCGCGCGACGTACTGGAGCAGGTTCGCCGACTCCGCGCCGCCGCCGCGCGCGCGCGCGCCTCCCGGAGCTTGCCGAGCGCCGACGTGCGCACGCCCGGCCGCTGGGCCCGGGCCGTGCCGTGGTTCGCGAAGTTGGCGACGCCGAGCGCCGTCCGGAGCACGTCCCGGAGGCCGTAGGAGCCCGCCAATTGGTTCGCCGCGGTCTTGAGCGGCGCGACGCCGCCGTCCACGAGCTCCGCGCAGCGGTCCGCGTAGGTCGCCTCGAGCCAGAGGTAGCCGACCTTGGCCGCGCAGCGGGGCACGCCGCAGGCGACGACGGCGAAGAGCGCCGACGGCGCGTCGAGCGACGGCGCGAGGAGCCGCGCCGCGTCCGCGTCGCGGAAGCCGTCGCGGCGCACGGCCGCCTGGACCGCGCGGATCTCCGATTCGCCGGCGAAGAAGGCCTTGAGGGGCTCGAGGCAGCGCGCGACGCCGTCGGCGAGCGCGCGGGCCCCGAGGCGGCCGCCGTCGAGCGTGAGCAGCGTTTCAACGACGGCGTCGTCCCGCGCGCGGACGTTGCCGTGGAGCACGTTGAGCTCCAAGGCGCGGCGGTCGCCGAAGAGCTCCGTGACGAGGGACCGCTTCTTCGACGCGGGCTGGGCCTTTTTCGGCGCCGCCGCGCCGGCGGCGGCCGCGCCGCGGTCCACGAGGCCGAAGACGTCTTCGAGGTCCGCGGACGCCTCGGACCGGAGCGGCGCGTCGAAGCCGCGCCACCAGTCGCCCGACGCGAGCGCGTCGTCGTCGGAGGCGTAGTCGAGGTAGACGCGGCGCGTCTTGACGCGCGGCTTCCGCTCGCAGCCCGGCGGCGGGCCCCGGCGGACGACGGCCGGGGCCGCGACGTCGACGGCCGCGTCGGCCGCTTGGGCCGATGATGAACCCGCGCCGCCGTCGAGGAGCGCCGGGTCCAGGCCGTCGGCGCGCATCTTGTTCTCGACGGCGCCGCGGGGCACGTGCATCTGGAGCATCTTCAGGTACTTGGCGAGGACCGCGCCGCCCGCGCGCGGCGCGGCGCCGGGCTCCGCGGCGGGCTCCGGCGCGTCGAGGAGCGCGACGTCGAGGCCTTCCGCCGCCATCTTCGCGCGCACGGCGCCGTAGGGCACGTGCATCTTCAGCATGCGCGCGTAGCGCTCGAGCCGCGGGTCGTCGCGCGCCGCGGCGGCGGGCGCGGTTCGCGCGGCCTCGGCGGCGGCCGCCGCGCGGCCGTCGCGGCGCGCCGCGGCGTCGCGCGCGCGCGCGCGGTGGAGCTGCGCGAGGCGGCTCCGCTCCGCGCGCGCCGCGCGGCGGTCCGCGACCGTGCGCGTCATCCGCGCGTCGAGATCCGCGAGGCCGTCGCCGAAGACGAGGTCGCCGTCCATGGCCCGGAGCGCGTCCGCGAGCCGCGGCGGGTCGCCGGCCGCGGGCGCCGCGGGCCGCCGCCGGGCCCCGAGGCTCGCCCGGTCGGCCTCGAGGTCCTCGCCGAGCGCGCGGAGCACGCCGTCCGCGCGCGCATCGCCTGCGAGCCACGCGGCCCGCATCGCGCGGTCCGCGAGGGAGCGGCCGCGCCTGGGCAGCACAAGAGTGATTCAACGTTCGCTTCAACGTGAGTGTTCCGCGCGCGCGCGTTACGGAAAACACATCCACGCTTCGAGACCGTTCCGAGAGATGATCGCTCGTCCAAAAATCAGCCGAAACGAGTGAAAAACGGCCGAGATAGGAGCCTTTGAAGCTGGGAATGTCGCACTCTTTTGCTGCCCTTGCCCGCGCCGCTCGCCGCCGGGCGCCGCGGCGTCGCAGTCCGCGGCCTCGTCGCGCTCGCGCGCGTCGCAGGCGCCCAGGAACGCGTCCGCGGCGGCGCCGAGCGCGCGCGCGGCCGGGTCCCCGGCGGCCGCGGCCGCGCGCGAGATCGCGAGGAGCGGCGGGCACCGGTGCTCCTCGCCGCGCGCGCCGCCCGCGCCCGCGGCCGCGCGCGCGAGCACGTCCGGCGGCGCGCGCCGCCGCCGCGCCGCCGGCGCGCGGTCCCGCGACGCACTCTTCGCGAGCGTCGCCTTGGGCGCCGCGGCCGCGGGCGCGACGCGCACGACGGCGTTCGCCGCGCGGCAGTACAGCGCGCCGCGCGCGAGCGCCGCGGACCGCGTCTTCTCCGCGTCGCAGGTCGCGGCGAAGAGCCGCGCGGCCGCCGCGGCGAGCGGCGCGTCGGCGCCGCGCGCGTTGAGCAGGTCCGCGAGCGCGGCGTAGCGCGGCGGCCGCGCGTCCGCGGCGCCGCGCGGCGCCGCGGGCGCGAGCGGCGCGCGGGCGAGCGCGGCGTCGCCGAAGCGCGCGGCGCCGTCGACGCGATCCAAAACGGCGTCGACGACCCGCAGGCCCTCCTTCTCCTTGCAGAGCGCGGCGAGGAGGTCGCAGACGACGGCCGAGAGCAGCGGCAGCCGGAGCTGGAGCGCGCCGAAGGCGAAGCGCTTGAGGTTCGCGCGCTCGCGCTTGAGGCGCGCGAGCTCGCCGAGCGCGTGGGGCACGAGGCCCACGAGGCGCACGCACTTGACGGCGACGAGCGCGAGCGCCGCGTCGCCGACGGACGCGACGCCGCCGCCGCGCGCGAGGTACGCGACGGACCGGCCGAGCGACGCGAGCGTGAAGTCGCGCGTCACGACGGCCGCGAGGTCCTCGGCGAAGGCGTCGTCGGCGCCGCGGCGCCGGCCGCCCGCGCGCGCGCCCGACGCGCGGAGCAGCGCGAGCCGCGCGGGGAGCGCCGCGAGCTCCCGCCTGGGCAGGACAAGAGTGATTCAACGTCGCTTCAACGTGAGTGTTCCGCGCGCGCGCGTTTCGGAAACAGCACCCACGCTTCGAGAGCGCTCCGAGAGATGATCGCTCGTCCAAAAATCAGCCGAAACGAGCGGAAAACGACCGAGATAGGAGCCTTTGAAGTTGGGAATTTCGCACCCTTTTGCTGCCCTGGCTCCCGCGGCGAGAAGCCGCGCTCGCGGCGCCGCCGCCGCCGGAGCTCGCGGACGACGGCGCCGATGGCCCGCGCCCAGCGGGCCCGGGCCGCCGACGCGTCGACGCGGACGACGAAGGCCTCGCGCGGGTCCTCGACGTCGCTCGGCCGCGGCGCGGCGGCGTCGTCCGCCGCCGCGGCGCCGCGCGCGCGCGCGCGCCGCGCCGCGGGCGCGCGCTGCGCGTCCTCGATGGCGCTCTCCCAGAAGGCGACGCCCGCGCCCGTGCGGCAGTCGAGCTCGCGGACCTTGGGCTTGCGGCCGCCGGGCGGCGGCGGCGCGACGACGCGGAGCGAGTGCGGCCGCCCGGGCCGGCCCGCGCGCGCCGTCGACGTGCCCCGGGGCACGGCCATGGTCTTGTCGTAGGCCGGCCGGCCGCCGCGCCGCGACGCGTGGGACACGACGCGCAGCTCGCCGTCGCGGAGCGTCGCCACGGCGGGGAGGTAGGAGATGCGGCCCGTCACCCATCCCCGGCTCCGGACGACGACCTCCGCGTGGGCCGACGCCTCACCCATGAGAGGCGTGCGCCGAGAGGCGTGCGCCGACGAGGAGTTATCAACGACCCGTCGCGCCGCGCGCCGGCGCCCGTTTCTCGACCATCTCCCGCAAACGTTTACGATCGCGTACGATCGACTTCCGCACAACCCAGCGCTGTTAGGCCCTCCAGACACCCCAAGGACACGCCCCCCCTCCTAGGAGACGATCGGCGCTACCCCGACGTGAGCAGGGGCACGGCGGTCACGTTGCCGAACTCGTCGATGTGGACCCGCTCCTCGACGAGGTCCTCGACGCGCGGCCGCTCCCACGCGGCCTCGCCCGTGGCCGTGTTCCAGTAGTAGATGTCGCCGTCGTCGGTCGCGACCTCCTCCCACTCGTCGGGCGGCGCGCCCTCGAGGTACGCGCCGCCGCCGTCGCCGCCGTCGTCGTCGCGCGGCGCGATCTCTTCCGCCGGCACGCCCGCGCGGAAGTCGCCGTCGCTGAAGACGACGTCGTAGGTCCCGTCGCCGACGTCCTCCGCGACGCGGCCCGGGTACCAGAGGCCGTCCTCCCACGCGGCGAGGCAGAAGTCGCCCCGGCGCCACCCGTAGAGAGCGAGCGCGCCGGCGTCGCCCTCGGGCGCCGCGGCCGCGCCGCCGCCCGCGGGCGCGGCGGGGGCGGGCGCGCCGGCGCTCGCGCCGGCGTCGTCCGGCGCGGGCGCGGGCGCCGCGTGGACGCTCTCCGACGCGCCGGACGCGAAGGACACGAGGTCCGGCCCGCGTAGTTCGTCTGGAAGCCCTCGCGGTTCGCCGCGCCGACGTTGGGCCGCATCGTCGGCCGGGCATTGCGGGGCCGCGGCGGCGCCTCCGTCGACGCGGACCCCCACGTCGCCTCCGTCGCGAACGTCCGCGCGTCGGACCGCGCGTCCGCGTCGCCCGGCCCGCGCGCGCCCGCGTCGTGGGCCGTGCGGATGCGCCAGCCCACGAGGTGCTGGACGGACCGCCGCCGCTGGAGCGCCTGGAGCTTGAGCGCGACGCGGCCGCGGTCGCGGCGCCGCCCGAGCCGCCGCCGCGCGCGGCCGAGGAGCCGCTGCGCGAACGCGAGGCTCCCGGACCGGCCGCGCGCCGCGCGCTCCGCCGCGCGGCACTCCGCGAAGGCCGCCCGCGCGAGGCGCAGGTCGCCGCGCGCGGCCTCGACGCGGACGTCGTGCGTCTTGAGCGTCGACCGGAGCCGCTCCCGGAGCGCGTCCTCGACGTTGACCGCGCCCAGGAGCCGCGCGTCCGCCGGCGACCTCGCGCGCGGCGCCCGCACCACGGCCTCCTGCGCGTCGGCGACGACGGCCATGGCCCGGGCGATGAGCGCCTCGATGGGCCGGCGCGCGGCCTCCCGCAGCTCCTCGAGCGCCTCGATGCGGAGCTCGCGGCCTTTGACGTCATCCGCGGCCGCGCGCGAGTGCCACTTCGCCGCCTCCTTGGCGAGCACGGCCGCGGGGAACTCGCGCCGCGCGGCGCGCACGTAGACGAGGAGCACGGCCGCAGCCCGCCGCGCGGCGACGACGCGCGCCTCGCAGGCCTTGGCCCCGGTCGCGGCCGCCGTGTCGACGCGCGCGGCCTCGATCACCCGCGCGTCCTCGAGGTCCGCCTCGTCGAGGAGCCGCCGCGGCGATGTGAGCCATCTCGGGGGGCCGCCGCGCGGCGACCGCGGCGGCGTCGCCGGCGGCGGCTCGAAGCCCCAGAAGAGGTCCCCGGGCGGCGCCTCGTCCGCGGCCGGCGCCGCGACGCCGCCCGCCTCGCTCGGCGGCACCTCGTCGTCCCTCGCGACGTCGTCGCCCCACCAGAGCACGGGCACGAGCTTGCCCCGCGACGCCCCGCGCTCGAGCTTGCCCCGCGACGCGCCGCGCTCGAGCTTGCCCCGCGACGCCCCGCGCTCGAGCTTGCCCCGCGACGCCCCGCGCTCGAGCTTGGCCCGCGACGCCCCGCGCTCGAGCTTGGCCCGCGACGCCCGGCCCTCGGGCGCGCCCGCGCCGCGCTCGGCCGCGGCCGGCTCCTCGGCGTCGCCGTCGCCGTCGCCGTCGGCGACGAACGTGTCGACGCGGACGTCGTCGGGCCCCGCGGCGAGCGCCGGCTCGGGCCGCGGCCGCCGGCGCCGGGGCACGGCGCCGCGGAAGGCGGTGGACCGCGTCGGGTCCGTCGTGTAGCGCGCGCAGCCCGCGAGCGACGCCGACTCGCCGAAGAGGGACCCGACCTGTGTGCAAATCAACCAGTGAGCTGGGACGTCGGGGCCAAACTTCAGAATTCTCTAGCTCGGTCAAATCGAAGTCGATTCGGCTGATTTTTGGACGAATCGATTGCTCTCAGCGAGTTCTCGAAGCACGGCGGAAGTGCTCGTGTCAAAACATTCGAATACGCTCACATTAAAGTCGGGTTGAAGATTTGATTTCCACACAGGACCCGACCGAAGGCGCGGCCGCGAGCGCGGACAGCGCGCCTCGGACGTCGGCCCCGGCGCTCGCCGACCGCGCGGGCGCCAGGTAGGGCGGCCGCGGCGTCGAGTCCTCGGGCCGCGCCCGCCGCCGGCGCCCGGCGGCCGCGCCGCCGCGCCCGGGCCGCAGCGCGGCCGCGGCCGCGGCCGCGTCGCGCCGCGCGGCCGCGTACGCCTCGGACGCGGCCCGGCGGCCGTCCGCCGCGTGGACGGACGCGCCCGCGAGCTGGTCGAGGGCCTCGTCGACGCGCCCGACGGAGACGGCCCCGAGGAACGCCGCGACGTCGAGCGGCGCCGCGGGCCGCTCGCGGCGGAGCGTCGCGTAGTCGTCGACCTCGCCGGCGCCGGCGCCGCTCGCCGGCGGCCGCGGGGCGCCGTAGGCCTCGACGCGCGTCCGCCGGCGCTCCGCTTCGCCCGCGCCGAAGGCCGCGAGGGACCGCTCGAGCGCCTCGGCGGCGGTGTCCGCGTTCGGCCGCAGGGGCGCGATGGGGTAGCGCGCCGGGTCGACGACGGCGGCGCCCGCGGCGGCGGCGGCGCCCGCGGCCACGGCGTGCGACGTGTGCGGCTGGCTCACGAGGATCGACGGCCGACCCATTTGCCTAGGGGGCTGTCATCTCCCTCGGACCATCGTCGGCGCTGAATGATTTCATCACGGTGAATTTTGCAGTCAGATTTGAATTCCCACCTAAAAATTCTTGTGACCGGGCTCCGCACGCTGCGTGCGCCACGCGCGCTGCGCTCGACGCGCGCGAAACGCCGCCGTTCGCGCCGCAATTCAAACGCACCCAACGACCCGAACTCCACTCGGTCGGACGCCCGCGCGCGCCGCCGCCGCGCACCCGCGTGCCGCCACGTGGCCTCGCGCTCCACGACGCGGTCAAACGCACGCGCGTCACCGAGCGACGCCTCCCTCGTGGGTGCGGTAGTCGTCGTCGACTAGGGTTCTTCCGTACGAAAAATCAATTTGCCCTTGCTTAGGTTTGCATTGAAGTGAAATATCTAGACTCACCCTTGGTGCCGATGGGTTGCAGCATTGATCCGGATCAAGAATGGTTTGGCATGCAGCCCGCTGGCATCGCCGCTGCGTAGCCGTAGCGAACGGATCGGGCGCGCGTCCGCGGGAGCGGCGCGCTCCCATGAATTCCCTCGCTGCCATCGCTGTCCTCCTCGCCCTGCCGCGAGTGACGGCCCAGTGCGCGCCCGGCACCGTCGCGTTCTCCGAGCACGTGATCACGACGCTGGCCGACGACGGCCAGTCCGTCTTCGCCGTCGACGTCGACGGCGACGGCGACGCGGACATCCTCACGGCGTCGAACTACGACGACACGGTCGCGTGGTACGAGAACGACGGGTCCCAGTCCTTCGCGGAGAACGTCCTGACCAACTCGGCGAACGGCGCCAACTTTGTCTTCGCCGCGGACGTCGACGGCGACGCGGACGTGGACGTGCTCGCCTCCGCGGGCCAGGACAACTCCGTGACGTGGTTCGAGAACGACGGCTCCGGCGGGTTCACCGGGAACGAGATCACGGCCAGCGATACCTTCGTGACCTACGTCTTCGCGGCGGACGTCGACGGGGACGGGGACGTGGACGTCCTGTCGGCGGCCTACTCGGGCGAGACGGTCAAGTGGTTCGAGAACGACGGGTCCGAGGGCTTCACGGAGCACACGATCGCGTCGTCGAAGGCCGGGTCCAAGTGCGCGTTCGCGATCGACGTCGACGGCGACGGCGACGTGGACGTCATCGGAGCGACGCGGGTCCCGAGCGGGACGGGCGCGGCGACGTGGTACGAGAACGACGGGTCCGAGGGCTTCACGGAGCACGACATCGACTCGGGGTACAACCTGAACCCGACGCCCGTCTTCGCGACGGACGTCGACGGCGACGGCGACGTGGACGTGCTCGGGGGCTCCGAGGGCAGCGACCAGGTCAAGTGGTACGAGAACGACGGGGCCGAGTCCTTCACGGCCCACGTCATCACCGACTCCGCGGACGCGGTCCACACGGTGCGCGCGGAGGACATCGACGGCGACGGAGACGTGGACGCGGTCTCCGGCAGCTACAGCGCCAAGGAAGTCGCCTGGTACGAGAACGACGGGTCCCAGTCCTTCACCAAGGCGACCATCGTCTCCGGCGACTCCTTCGACGGGGCGCGGCCCGTGTTCACGATCGACGTCGACGGGGACGGGGACGTGGACGTCGTCGCCATGGCCGCGCTCGTCGACACCGCGTCCTGGTTCGAGAACGGGTGCGCCGGACCCACGGCCGCGCCGACCGCGACTCCGACGCCCAAGGCCACGACCTTCTGCACGAGCGTCGCGTTCTCCGAGCGGATCATCACGACGCTCGCAGACGGCACTCGCTCGCTCTACGCGGTCGACGTCGACGGCGACGGCGACGTCGACGTGCTGTCGGCGTCCGAGAATGACGACACGGTCGCGTGGTACGAGAGCGACGGCTCCCAGTCCTTCACGGAGCGCATCATCACGAATTCCGCGGATGGCTCCCGCTCCGTCTTCGCGATCGACGTCGACGGCGACGGCAGTATCGACGCGCTGTCCGCGGACTCCGGCGACGACACCGTCGCGTGGTACGAGAACGACGGGTCCCAGTCCTTTACTGAGCGCATCGTCACGACGCTGGCGGACAACGTCTACTCCGTCTACGCGATCGACCTGGACGGTGACGGCGACGTCGACGCGCTCTCGGCGTCCTACACCGACGACACGGTCGCGTGGTACGAGAACAACGGGGCCCAGGCCTTCACCGAGCGCGTCATTACGACCCTCGCGGACTCCGGGGGCAGACGTCGTCTTCCCGAGCCGCGGCGTCCCCGGCGCGCGTCGTTCGCCGGTCGATCAGCTCCTCGAAGAGCTTCGTCAAGCGTTCCCCATGTTCATCTCGCCGATAGTCTCGGCGCTTCCCGAGGGCGGCGCGCGCCGGGGCGGCACCGGCGAGGCCGTGGGCATGATCCTCGTCGTCCTCTTCTGCGTCGTGGTGTACGGCGCGATCCAGGGCGTCGTCGCCGTCTACGCGAGGGCCGCGCGCTGCTGCCACGTCCGCATGCCGAAGTCGCGCGATAAGCGCGAGTTTCTCTCCGCGGCTCGCGCCGTCTTCGACATCATCGACGTCGACGGCAACGGCTCCCTCGACCGCGCCGAGATCGTCGCCCGCGTCGCGCGCCCGGAGGTCCGCGCGTTCCTCGAGGACAGCGGCGACGAGACCCTCCAGGGCCTCCTCTGGCCCGGGCGGCTCGAGGCCGCCCTCGGCGCGCTGGACACGAACAGCGACGGCAAGATAGACGCGCGGGAGTGGGGGTCCGCCATCGAAGTCGCGCTCGCGAAGACCTTCGGCGACGGCGGCGGCGAGCGCGGCGACGGCGACGTCGTCCTCGCGCCCGCCGCGGTCGACCGCGCGCCGCGCGCCGACGCGTGGACCTTCGACGAGAGCGCCCGCGTCCCGGCCGTCGATATCGACTCGGCGGGGAGCGCCGTGGCCGACTTCAACGCCGCCGAGGACGCGTCGTCGCCGGTCCCCCTCGCGCTCGACGAAGGCGCGCCGGAGGCGACGCCGCCGGCGTCGCCGGGAATCCTCGTCATCCGAGCCGACGACCCGAGCCCCGAGTCCGAGTGAGGGGACTATCTAGGATAACTCGATCATCGGTATGCTAATTACAACGCTGCAGGCGGGATACGCCTCGCGCTCTGGCATACGCTGCAGGAAAGGTCCTCGCGTTTAGGGGGCTGTCATCTCCCTCGGACCATCGTCGGCGCTGAATGATTTCATCAACGTGAATTTTGCAGTAAACGTTGATTTGGAATTGCCACAGGAGCCCCAAGAAGCAGTCATGATTGATGTGGAATTGCCACAGGCTCCTGAGCCAAAGCAGTTTGCTCGAGCTGCGCGAAGTGGCAGCGTGTTCGCGGGCCTCCGTCGCCGCATCGACGGGTCGTTCTCGCGCGACTCCGCCGCATCTCTCGCGCGCGACTCCGCCGCATCACGGAAAACCCGCGCGATGGCGTCGCCCGAGGGATGGCACAAGGGCCTCGACGGCATGCTCGTGAAGAAGTGGGACCCGCACGCGAAGACGCGCGCGGCGGCCTACGAGCAGAGCCTCAAGGAGCACCAGGTCCGGCGCCTCAACGGCGAGGGCGCGTCGACCTACGCGTCGAACCAGGCGTCGAGCGTCGCCGAGCGGGGCGCGGCCGCGCGGCGCAAGGCCGCGCTCGCCAAGGAGGAAAAAGTCAACCGCGCGAGGAAGTTCAACGACCGCCACGGCGAGGCCATCGCGCGGCGCCACGCGGCGGCGGCGAAGCCGGGCCGCCACGCCGCCGCGGCGGGCCACGAGGAGAACGAGCGCTACATGGACGACTTCCGGAGCGCGTACGGCCTCGCCGCGCCCGCGCCCGTCGCCGCGGCCGCGCGGTCCCCGGGCGCGCTCGGCGCGCTCGGCCGGCACCGGGTGGCGAGCTGGGCCGGCCCGCTCGACCGCGGGCAGCTCCGGAGCTACCGCCGGGGCCCCGCGGACCCGCGCGGCGCGCTCGTCGACTGCAGCGACCGGCCCCTCCTGTGCATGAGCGTCTCCGACGACGGCCGCGACGTCGTCGTCGGCTCCGCGGACCACGCGGCCTACGGCGTCGACGCGGCCGACCCCCGGCCCAGGCCCGCGCGGACCTACCACGGCAAGGACGACGGCCACGCGGAGTGGGTCGCGGCCGTCGCGCACTGCGGGCCCCACGGCGTCGCGACCGGCGGCGTCGACGGCAAGCTCTGCCTCTGGCGCCGGGGCGCGCGGGCCGAGGACGTCGCCCCCGCGGGCGGGCCGTCGCTGTCCGTGCTCCTCGCCGACGGCGCCGCGCCCCA